TTGCATTCCCACCAGCAATGCAGGAGAGTTCCTTTTTCTCCACATCCTCGCCAACATTTGTTGTTGCTAGTTGTTTGAAGATGTGCCATTCTCACTGGCATGAGGTGGTATCGTTTCTAGGAAATCTTAACCAAGTACCTGGCATGTGTTTTCGCAGTACGTTATGGTTCCCTATGTAGTACTCTTGGCATTTTCCTGATTGAAACCACGTTGTAGTCACTCACCATCCTATCTCCAGGGGCAGTTCAGTGTGTGCTTATAATAGTAATGCTTATTTGTTGAATAAGCCAATGAATATTTTGTGAAACTAAGTTGTTGGAAACAAAAGATAATTTAAAATTTCAATTTTAGTTTATGACAACACTATTGGGAGGAAAATCAATATAACTGCTGATAGCTAAATCTTTTTAACACAAAACTATTATTTTATGTAGGGATATCTCTAAATTTGCTATGCATTATATAATAGAAGAAATAGATGAAGATACATCAATGGAAGACTTGCAGAAAATGATGGTTGTGGCTCTTATATACAGATTACTAGTTTGTTTCTATGAGGTAAGTTATTAACTAAAACAAACATTAACATTTAACAATCTAATTTTAGGTTGAGTCCTAGACAAAAAGTGATGGAAATTTATAATTATTTATGTATTTATAAAATGCCTCTTTGTTTTCCCAAATATTCTTTAATTATCACTTTTCAAGTTAAAACCGATCTCAGAATGGAGACAGTTTATAATTTCCTTGCAATGTATTTCAGCCTTGTGGCCCAAATATATACTTGTAAGTTGGTTATGAAACTTGAAGTGCATTTTCCCATAGGAATATCTTGCTCAAAAATATATATGGGTCATAGAGAAATGTGGTATTGAAGATGTTGGAGACTTTCAGAAATGTGTTTAAAAAAAGGGTAACTTTTGAGTAGCCTGTGAAATTGTTTCAACTTCAAATTTTTGAAACGTGAGTAATTTGGCATGAAATTTTAACTTTAAAATTGTTCTAGTTGAGGGCCCTCCCTGGTGAAGCACTGTGAAGTTGGCCACAGTTGCTTGAGTACAAGTTCTTATCCCCAGCAAGGGGCAGACCTCTCCTGACCCGCCCACTGCTCCCCTCAGCAGTGTACTTTGTCCATCTGCCCGTTCTGCTCCCCGCTCCATTTCTGGTGAATCCTCCCACTGTCCCTGCCCCTCTGGCCTGTACCCCAGTTCTGTATGCACAAATAAATAAATATTTTTAAAAAATATTCTAATAAAAAATTTGCTATAGTTGAGCCAATGAATTATTTTTTAATTATCCTTTTCTTCTTAGATAATTTGCATTTGGGGAGCTGGTGGAGCAACTCCAGGGAAGTTCCTGCTAGGGCTTCGAGTTGTGACATGTGATACATCAGTGCTTATTGCACCAAGTCGGGTTTTAGTGATTCCTTCTTCAAATGTTAGCATTACTACGTAAGTTTTTAACATATTCAACTATCTACATGAAAATAATTTAAAAATCAGTATAATTCATAAATTACTTTTATGATTTTTTTTTCCTCTGTGGTAATACATTTTTTCAGGTTTAAAACAAAACATCAGTATTTTTCAGCTATTATTGTAGACCTCTCTTTGTTATGTTTTTAAGAATCACCTTAAGAAATCTATGAAGTCAACATAAAAAGAGGATGTTTTGAGTGTTGGTATTTATATCCATGTCTAGCTTTATTCTCTAGAACTGTGGACACTGCTGTCAGTTATTGATCTGCCTTGAGCCTTCACTTGGTAATAGCTGTCATTATCCTATCTTGAAAGGGCAGTATGAGGTTTGACAGGAAGGTGCACATTCATTCTGCTCCGGCTTTTAAGAGCTTGTAGTACTGCTAGAAAACATGGCTAGCTGTTAGCTTCCGGCTCTGGCAGAAGGTACAGATACTGATAATGGAAGTTGTAGAGATAAATAGGAAATAATCTGTTGAGCAAAATTACTGCCAGAATGATTCAGAGCTGGATTGTTATATAAAGAGATATGAACAAGAGACTTTAAATAATTAATCTTGATTTTGCTGATATGTTCACACTTTCCTACAATTTTAGATTTATGATATTCTTGCTGCTACTTTTAATCAGATACAAAACAACTAGTATTTTTTGAGCACCTTTTATAAACCAAGCACTGTCAAGAATATTGTTTGTGTACTACTTAGTCCTAACTTTATAAGATAGGCATCATTATCTCCTTTTTGCACATGGAAAATGGCTTTGGAAACAGTCTGAATTCCAAGCTCATGTTTACCCATTGTGCTTTTCTTTAGCCTTTTGGTACAATAGAAGATGGAAATCTAATATAAGTAGGATAATTTTTCATTCTGAGCTATTGCTGAAAGCTTTTTAAAGCTTTCTTTAATCACAGGCTCTTACAAAGAAGAAAACTGATAAAAGAATACCAAATAATTTAAAACGAGTACTTTATAGAGGGTAGAAAATGGGACTGCAGTAAGCACTCAGTTTATAGTCTCTTAAAATATACATTTAAAAGTGACTTTAGGAAAGGTAACTCAAAGGAATAAATTTTCTTCTGGAAAAACACTAGAAAATTCTCTAATCTTTAGCTCACATTCTAAGATAACTACTTCACATTTTAAATGTATTACTGCTTTTCATGTGAAAGTTCTGTCTTATCAACAGAAGGTTGCTGAAGTCTTCAGTAGTAACCCAGGTGGTTTGTTCATAATACTTAACTCAGATTTCAAAGATAATCAGCTACACTGTAAATGTTTTAAGTACTTATTTTGAACTTGACAGAATAATATTAATCGCTTTCTGACTGGTACACAACTTAACCTGATTTTGTTTTTTTGTTTGTTTAATTTTTTTTAGATCCACTATACGAGCTTTGATCAAGAACTTTTCTATTGCTTCTTTTTTCCCCGCTTTCATCACACTGCTGTTTTTTCAGCATAATCGAACAGCATATGACATTGTAGCAGGAACCATTGTGGTAAAAAGGAATGGGGTCAGATGATGCCCAAAAAAGTCCTGAATTCCATACTCTGGAATAATGAGAAGACTAAATTATGTATCAAGGCCATCAGTATCCCCGGGTAACATTAATTGATGATTTAGAAATTAAAGCAGTTGCTACAGTGTGATACAGGTGACTATTTTGAAAGTATTGATTTTACTTGAAATGCCAAAGAACTTTTCCAGAAGAAAAATCTGTTAAATTCAAGTATTAAAAATTTTAGATTGAAAAGAAAGCAAGTAGTTTCATAATCAACATGGACAATGTATACTGTAAGATCTAAGGCATTAGAACTTGCTGAAAGCATATCCAGTTTTGAAATTTCCAAATGAAACTTTAAAATTTTATTTTGGTTTATCCCAAAATGATGGAAAATGTCCAGTTGTGTTTTGTAAACACATTATTCATCTTTTAGTTAATACTCCTTGGGGAAATTGTTGTCTTTGCTTTTTGGGGGAAGGGAGCAGGAATATAGCAGATAACCGTTACCACCTCCCAGCCCCGGCTGCAAGAGAAAGGGGCAGGGGAGGCAGGCCCAGCAGCTCCCTCACCTGAAGTTTTAACATCTGTACTGCAGTTTACTGTGGGAATGATAAACTGTACAAGTATTCTTAATGCTTAAATGTATATTTTGGGCAAGTTTTGCATGACAATGGAAAAAGTATTAAGTCACATTGCTTGTTACTGATTTCCTTAAAGAAAAGGTAAGCTAGTGATTTAGTGGGTGGAAAAAAGTCAATTTTCATTGTAAATTTAACTTAAAATTTATGTGCAAGTGTTTTCAGTGCCCTAAATCAAACTATAAATATGTAATTACTACTTCCATCAAACTGTTGCATATTTACTGTAAAATGATATTCCCAGTATGTGTGCAGCATGAAGAAAGTATTAATGCTTTTCAGTGTTTTGACTATAACCCCTTCTGTGTGCAGAATATTCATATACTACTTCCTTCTTATATTTTATAGAATTCCATGACTTTTGAAACATCAATGAGTCGATCTTACTCTTTCATGACTAGCCCTAGTAACTTATGGCGTGTTGGTGGCTTCCCATTATGGACTATATGGAAGAGTAGCATTTATTCTGAGTTTTTTGGTTCTGTGGGCCAAAAGCTCATTTTGAGCCTGCCAGGGGTGATACCGTGAAGGAAATGTTAGTGGAGTAACATTCGTGCATTGCCATTTTAATTTATTCTTCTGTTGAATCAAAGTTGAAGAGTTTTAAGTATGTGTGTATTTTGTTGGATGGCCCAGGGAGCTGTGTGGAGATACCTGAACAAAAATTCTTTTTTCTTAAGCATTTCCTCTAACTCTGATATTTTCCCAAGAAACACTAATCTGTAGCCCTTATTTCTTGAGTTTAATAGCAAATGCAGACACATTATCACAGAATCAGTTTTTTAAGTGGGGTTTTCTTTGACATTGAGAATTGTGAATATATTCATACTTGATGTTTATAAAAATCTTAACAGTTTCCTTATTAATACCTTTTTATTGTAAAATTTCATAAACCATGTTTTCCAAAATAATTTTATATTAAATCCAACATCACATAAAGTCTGTTAAGTATGTCAAAGTAGTCACTTGTAGCCTCAGGGAAGATATTAAAAGTGTTACAGTCATTCACAGTAGGAAAAGAACTCATTTTTTTATTAGACTATTAATTAAGAAATGTTATATATAGATTTGCCACTTTGTAGTATATACATTAGTATTGGCATATACAGTACTTTTGCCGCTAGTTGGGCATATAAAATGTCCTTTATTTAGTAGCTCCAGAATTAATTTTGATGTATTAATTTCCTCTCAAGTAGATCTATCTTTTTGCTATCATTTATACAGTAAAACAAAAGCTAACAAATAGTCCAGTTTAATTTGTTACTAAATTTATTATACATTTGCAGTATTACACATACAAGCCATTCAAATTAAAATCTCTATAGGTTTTTGTAGTTTCATTTAGTGGATTCAAATTATATACTACCTAAGCCCTCTAAAATAAAGTATTACTTTGTCTTTACCAAAAATCCAAGTCTGTTTCTGTTTATAAACTCAGTACGTAGGGAAGGTTTGAGTCCCAGATTGCTGGAAAAAAATGACAGTGATGGGAAGTAAAAGGGAGCCACATGCTTTGTGTCCTGGGGGAGGAGGGAACAGAGCATTCCCCCTTCAGAACACTTTTCTCTTCAGTGTTATTTCATTTATGGAAGAGCTAATGTTCCACGTCAGAATATAATTTTGATGCTGAGACTCTAGCCTTAAAAAGACAGAAAGAAAGTTGTCTTCATAGTACAAGCATTATTCATCACTTTTACAAGATAAGAAATAAGGAAACAAAAATTAGGAGTCAAGCTGAGCGAGAACACTGTTTCAGTGACCCTGCCAGAGGGCAGGGGTTTAACTTAGGGACCTAGGCAGACCTTGGTTCCGTTATTACTACAGTAGCCTGACCACTGGCTAACACATGTGAAGAAAAGTGTTCTTGCTGGGCGTGGGTACAGAGTGTGAGTGACAGTGAGCCGTGCTTTTGAACGACTATAGAAATAAAGCCAACACTTTTTTGAATAGAAGCCTTTTCTTTAAAATACTTCCCAACTGACATTTACCTAGCACTGGTTTGGAAACTTCCTGCTTAACACCATTTCATTCAAATATTTAAAACTGAAAAACAGGCATTATATTTGAGGGCCACTGTACCTAAATTATAAACATGAGTACTGTATGTGTTTTTTTTTTTCAGATTTCTTACTTTTTATTAGAAATTAAAACAAAACTTTAATGAACACTAAATCTCTCCACCCTCACCCATTTTTCCCAATCCCCACTCCCCATCTCTGATAACCATTGGTTGGTTCTTTTTTGTCTTTAACTTGCTTTTTCTCAGTTTTTTGTTTTTTGGTCTAAGGTTCCACATATGTGAGAGGCCACACATTATTGGTGTTTTGACTTCACTTAGTAAAATGCTATTAGAGCGCATCATGTTGTCGCCTGTCAAGATTTCACTCATTTCATGGCAAAATATATTCCATAATGTGGAAACAATCATCTGCCCCTTAAGACTGCTTTGGTCAGTGACAGACTGCATGCAGCACAGTGGAGCCCTCTGCCACGTGTTAGCCTGGGCATGAGCCGGCCCCGTAGGTGTGTGTGGCTGCATGTGAGGTCGCAGCGATGAGGTCCTCTACTGCCCTTTCCCTCAGAACACAGTCCTGTCACTCGGCAGCTCTTGACTGGGAACCACAATTTCTTTGTTCATCAGTGGACGCTTGTTTCTGTATCTCTGCTATCATGAATAACGTTTCCATCAACATGGGGGACAGGGATGTTTTCAAGTTGTGTTTACATTTTCTTCAGCTAAGTAACTCAAGTGAAATTCCTTAATTGTCTGGCAGTCTTTGTGCTTGTGCACCAATATATAGTCCCATCAAAGGTGCACAAGGTTCCCTTTCTTCCACATCCTTACCAACACTTCCTTCTTGCTTTTTTGTTATCGCCATTCCAGCAGGTGTGAGGGGATCCCCCTGTGGTTTTAATTTACTTGATGACTCATGTACCTGTCAGCCATCTGTATGTCTTTGGGAAAATGTCTTCCAATCAACCCACTCTTTTTTTTTTTTTTACTATTGACTTGTATGACTTTATTTTTAGGATAGTACCCCCATGCAAATATTTCCTCCCGTTCCCATAGGTAGCCTTTCATTTTGTTGCGTGTCCTTTGATTAGTCCTGCTTATTTTCACTTTTGCCTTTAGTGTATGATTAGAAAATTCAAGACCCATGTCAAATAGCTTACCCACTGTATTTTCAAGCCGTTAGCCTGCTTTTAATTTGTAAGACAGTGTTGTAGTTTCAACCTTTTTCGTGGTTATCCAGTTTTCCCAACACCACTTATTGAATGTCTTCAGTATATATTCTGACAGCCATAAGCTGGCGTGTGTGAGGGTTTACTTCTGGACTATGTTCTGTTGGTCTCATTTTTATGCCATCACCACACTGGTTTAGTCACTACATGGAGCTTGACACCTCCAACGTTGTTCAAGTTCGCTTGCTGGGTTTTATAGTTTATACAAATTTCAGGATTTTTTTTTCCTATTTCTATAGAAAAACACCATTGGGCTTTTGGTAGGGATTGCATTGAGCCTGTGGGAAACTTTGTGTAATATGGGCATTGGTAACGGCAGTTTCAGTCCATGAGCAGAGTTATCTTTCCATTTGTTTCTTAACTCACTAATGTCATCAAGTTTTCAATATACAGGTCTTTAACCTCCATGGTTAAATTTACTAGGTATGCAATTTATTTTTTATGCAATTGTAAATGGGAATGTTAATTTATGATAGTTTATTGTATAGAAATGCAGTTTTGTGTCCTGCAGCTTTACTGAGTTCTAGGTTTTTAGTGAGTATTTAGGGTTTTCTGCATGGTACCTGCCATTTACTTCTTCCTTTCTGATGTGGATGCCTGTTTTTTCCCTTGCCTAATTGTTCTAGGCAGGATTTGCACATTAAGTGATGGCAATGGGCATTTTTGTCTGATTTTTTGATTCTTGAGGAAAGGCTTTCAGCTTGTCATAGGTGGCATTTATTGTGCTGAAGTACAAGCCTTATACTTTTTTAAGTGCATCTTTTACCAAATGTTTCTTAATGCATTTATTGATAAAATCATAGGATTTTAATCCACATACAATTTTAATCCATCCTGGTAGTGTGGTAAATCGCATTTACTATCCCTGGAATAAATCCCACTTGATCATGGTGTATGATCTTTTAAATGTATTATTAAATTTGGTTTGCTAACACTTTGTTGAGGATTTTTGCATCCTTGTTCATCAAGGGTATTAGACTGTCATTTCCCTTGTCTCCTCGACTGGTGCTGGTGTCAGGGCGGTGCTGGCCTTCTTAAAGAGTGTGGAAGTGTTCCCTCCTCTTCTGTTTTTAAGTATTTGATTCATTGGTATCCCACTGGTTTCGATTTTTACTTCATCACGAAAACACCTATTATAGATTTTGTTTTTAGGCATTTATATTTTCTAGATTGTTTTCTGTGACACATTAGCATCTCTTAGTTTCAGATTTTTGAGTCATTTTTCTTGGTGAGTCTAAAGATTTTCAGTGCTGTTGAAAACTTTTAACTATTTTATAAGGATATTTACTTCTGTGGCATTTTTGGTTTCACTAATGCATTATTTCCAGCACAAAAAAGATAGGAGCTGAAAAAACTTAGCCCGTTAGTTGGGATTTAAAGGGCTTTTTGAAGGAGGTAGAGGTATTAAATATTTTCATGCTACACAAAGTATTCCCCTTTGCAAAATAAACCTAAGTAGCAGCAGTATTCCTAAAAACTAACGGGTGTCATTTTACTTAACATTCCCCACCCCCCTGCCCAAGGCCAGCATCTTTTTATGTACTTAACCTAGGCAAAGTTCCTTCTTTCAAATGGTGTGTGCTGTGTGCCTGTGTCCTGGAAGTTCATTGTAGTGGAGTTTGGCCCACAAACAGTATTTGATGGCCTGAATAAAAAAATTTCAACATCTTATTTTTAACAATTTGTATGCTACAAATTTGTATTGTCTCAATAAATACTTGGTCACCAATGCTTTTGTTATGCCTGTTTCTTTGACGTTAGCTCTAGGATCTCCTTAAAAGACTGTACTTCCAAACACAGCTTTCTGTCATTCTCTACCTTCAGCACAGCTACAGCAGTTTAATAAGGGTACTTTCAGAAATAGTTATCAAAAAAAAAAATCCATTCAGAGTAATACATTCTTTTAAAACTTTACCCACTGATATGAAAAGTTGACATCTTTAAAGACAACTTAAAATTAGAGCAGGGAAGGCCCTCCCTCCCTGGTGGAGCAGTGGGTTAAAGCAGAGCATTAAGAAGCTAAAGCCACTTCAGCATGAGTTCGATCCCCTTATGGGAGAGCAGACCTCTCCTAACCCGCCCGATGCTCCCCTCAGCAGTGTACTTTGTCAGTCAGCCTGTTCTCAGAGCTCCCCACTCTGTCTCTAGTGAATCCTCTCACCACCCCTGCACCTCTGGCCTGTACCCCAGGTTCTTGCATGCATAAATAAATCAATCTTTAAAAAAAAAAAGGGCAGGGAACCCAGAGAAATTGCATCACTGTGCTCATATGACTCAGGTCAAAGATACTTGACTACCACCAGAGATTTCTGACTGGGCCAGAAGCAATTAAGAAACAATTGAGATGTCATGCAGATCTGGAAAACTAATGATTATGGACTTTTAGCAGAAGAGAATCAACTATGTGTAGCCAAGACTAAAGTTTGTTAGTATCAATAAATTCTTTAACCACTTAACTCATTTTACATTTTTTTCCTCCCAAGAAACCAGTTTTATGCTTCTTTAGGCCTGTTGTAGGTTTTTTCCTGAATGTTTAGGTTGATGACTAAGCTTAATGTTAAGTCAATCCAATCCCGAGTTAACCTTCCCAACCTTTGCAACCAAGGTAGTAAAGGCCCACATTTCACAGAAGCTCAGGCTCACAGGTAGTAAAGAAATGAGTGGGAAAACTCAAACGTAGTTGATTCTTTTACAAACATGTAGAGAAAAAGGACAGGATACAAATCAGATTCCTCAAGGATAACAAAGATAATAAAGGATAAACTTAAAATGTGGCTTAACTTATGGCCGGGTCTGAGTCCTGTAGACAATGTGCTATTACTTATGAGCCCAATCACTAACTACTCATTCTGAAACTGGAACTGGTGGGCTGTTATTTTTATGAAAGTTGCCCCATATTAACAAGGAAATGAATATTTCTGACTTGATTATACAGTTGATGGGTGTAGCTGAACCACTCACTCAATTTTATCCGATTTTTCACTTTCCATTAATCACCTTGATCAAATTTCTGATCTTTAAACTTCAGGGAGGTTGAGGAAATCACATACTAATACAACTGAAGCAAACACAAGTTCTTCCCAGGCTAAACCAGAATGTTTATGGTCTGGCTACAAATTACTGAAAGTAGTTAAAACACAAAATCCAAACTATATGAAAAGTTTAGGCAAAGACTTATAACAAATAACAGTGAGCAACTGGCTTGAAGACATTTTCCTATTGTCTGAATGATACTTAACACCTGAAATCATAAAACTTCTCAAAACAGCCAAGTGGCAGGCCTCGTTCGTCCTCATACACAGCAAGTTTCCAGGTAGACAATTTTCTTCTTAGTGAGATAGTGTTAGTTTAGAACACTGGCTAGGTGGCAGGGATGCAGTTTCTCAGCAACTGTGTCATCACCCCGTATCCACCACCACATGTCCAGTCCAGGTGCTTACTGCAGAATTTTGAGCCCTATCCAGCCCCAATGAATCCGGTCAGGAGGTCCTAAAACACACATCTCACACCACGCCAAGTTACATGAATGTGCAGCCTAAGAGTAAGACTGATCCTCTGGTTCCATTCAGTCAACTGAATTATATAAACATACTTGATGATTTGATCTTTTGGCACACGACTTTCGTCCAAGAAGTAATTCTCAATCTAAAGCATTTCCTCCTGGTGCCAGCCCGAGAAGTGAACTTCCATTGTTCTCGTGTTCCCCCTTCTTAACCATGAACAACACATGTTCACTTTTCACTTGCACACGGCACTTAAACTGAAGCCTGCGCAATCCACTATTGCTATACCAATATCATAGGGAGTTGTCCACAGGGAATGAATCATTTGCGGCTGTATCCTGAGCCAGTTCAGTACAGAAATGTCTGTTGGGCTTGACGCTGCACTACCAGCCTGGATGTAGACGAGAGATGCCAAGTACATCTGAGAATCATGGCAGTCAAAACGGAGAAAACAAGTTCCCAGTCCTGCACACAGCCTCACTGACTTCATTTTGGGGGCCAAAGTACTTCATTTTAAAAACAAATCACCTGAAGTGTGGCTGCAAGTCATGTCTTTAAAATAGAAACATTTCTAGCACATTTAAGAAAACTTTCCAAGTGTAAACCCTAATTATTTCCATCCATATGGGCTAAAAATGAACTTTCCAAAACTGAAACCAGAGATTTCCGTTTACTTCTAGCATTCACTGTTACTATTTGCCATGTCAACATGTAGAAGAGAATATTAAATACAAAACTTCTATTCCAACATTTGATGATAGCTGAGATTATTTTCAATAAAAATATTTTTCATTGGAAACAAAGCAGAGAAGCTCTTAAACATTCCAACTTTCTAAATTTAGACTCCAATCCAGAAGCCAGCACAAAGTAATCATGCACTCATATTGAAAAATAAAATCATCAAAAGCTGTCCCAAGAGTCCTATGCCCCAAAGCCAATAAAAAGAAACTTAGCTTTTAAATTTTGGTAAGACAATCCAAAAACAGATGTGTCTCTTCAAGAACATCTACCAAGGAAGATACAAGTACAAAAGAGAAATGGTTGTGTTTAGTTTCAACTTTTAAAAAGGTATGTCAAATTATAGGCAAAGTAGGCATGAATCCTAGCACCAAAAAACAAGGTACCTTCATATGTTGCAAATTCAGAAACTCCTTCATTTGGTTGGCCAAATCACCTCAATGCATTCTTCGTGATTCCTCTCGTAACTCACCATTGGTAACCTTTATAAAAAGGTTTCCTTCCACTAACTATGTAACTGCAATAGGAGTTAACACTAGAACAAAAAGTATTTCATAATTTTTTATTGATGGCATTTATCCCATGGTTTAACATGTTAATTATACTGTAATAAACATGGCTTTAATATTAAACTTTCCTTATTATCCAAAGTCACCACAGTCCATTTCAGTAAATATAAAAATATATGCTTAATACTTTGTACAATACTGGTTTTTGGTCCAAACAAAAATGGATCAGAAAAGCCAATAAATTCATTTTAAGAATCCCCAATTTTTTTTAAAGATTTCCAAATGGATTTAGGCAACTTTGAATAATGGGATTTACATAATAAAATCTGAGACAAGACTAAACAAACAACAAAAAAAATTCTAACAAAATTAAAATTTCAAGTTCACAGATTTATGTTATGCCAAAGAAGTACAGAAACAAAATTGTATTTACACGTTTCATAATAAAATAATGAAAAAGGCAAGACAGGTGATAGAAGAATGAAAATATAGAAAGAGCATATAATTATTAAATGGAGAAGGAACTAGATCTAACAAGTCCTTTCATGGACCATTCTTTAATCAGGCTTCCTCTATCAGAAAACTTTAGTGCACAACACACCCAACTCACTTACTTCACACATACACCGGCACAAACTCAGCATAAAAATCATTCAACATCCTCTAATCTATACAGAATTCCTCAGATATAATTACAATTTCTACGCGCTCCATAAACGTGTTATCAACACACAGAGCGGTGCAGACAAAGAGGTTCTATACAAAGCCATTCGCTGAGCAGACTATATTCCTGGGTTCAGCCAGCCTATGCCAAATCAGTAAATAATTTGCTGGATCATAAAATATTTTTGCTGAAGAATCAAGTCACCAGTCTAAGTAGTATCTTAAAAAGGGGTGGGGGAGGAAGGGGCTTTGTAAAGAAAGAAAACTCCAAAATTAAAGAGGTCCTTAGGCAAATCTGACTTGAGACAACCCCACATGTGGGCGGGCCGGTACGTGAAAGCAGGGCACCAGCTGTTGCGAAACCGTTGGGTTCACACCAGTGTGATCTTTATTTCTTGCGCCTAACAGCAGTCTTTATTTTGCGACCAGAAACTGAAGTTCCAGAAGAAGAAAACATGTTTTTCCCATTTGACCTGTAAAAAATACAAACTTCATGTGACATGGTGCTCAGATGACACTTCAGATTCCTAACAACGATGAACAGGAATGAGGCCAATGAGCAGGGCGGAGAGAAGGGAGCCAGTTTCTACTGCCACTTTCACTTTCCCGCCCGCTCACAACCCCCCGCCGTGCCCCTCAGGGGACGGCCCTCCAGGCTGCTGCAGGGAACAGGCTTCCCCATGCAGGTGCACTGGGCTGGATTAAACCACACCTCGGGCATGCGCAGGGCGCCACCCTGTGCTCTCCAGGGTACGTTCCCTTACCCCACTGTAAACGCTGCTGAGGACTGGCTGAAGGGAAACCCCCCTGAGCTGGAAGGCTGGGCCGGTGCCGCGGGTGTGCTAGGGTTTGCACCAAATGTGAATACTCCTGACGTGCTGTTGTTGGCGAAGTTGAAATTTGTACTGCTGCTGCCAAACTGGAAAACTGAACCTACGAGAGTTAAAGCAGAAAAACACATTAACATAAAAATAACGTTTCCAAGCAGCACCTCTGACTTTTACACACCGAGGGCATGTTAAGGGTTCTCTTGTAGTCACATAGTTTGAAGACCAAGTATTTTCCGCACCGTACAGCACACACTCGGCACCCTCTCCTACAAGAGACACAGCTCACTGTGGCCAAGAGCAAAGGGCTGAGTGCATCTCTGGTTGTAGATAGCAGAACCAACTCACAGTTAGCTTTATGTTCTTCAAAAACTGCATTAAAATATCAGTAAACTGAGCATCCCTGGTGGCGCAAAGGGTTAAAGTGCAGCACTATGAAGCTGGCCACAGTTGGCTCCATGAGTTCCAGCCCGGCCAGGGAGT